CGATATCATCATGTCATCCAGGCAATCGACTTAGCATCATTATTAATGTTAATTTAAAGTCGGTGCTTTCAGGGACATGTTTGATCAGGCTGACCAGGAGATGCCTCATGCTATCAATGTTACCCCCGCAGAACAGGAGGCTATTGAACGAGTATGTGAAACAGTAGCTATTTCCCCCTATTTTATTTTGGATCCTCTCGAACTTTCAACATCGATAATTTGTTCTCTTTGTAGCTTGAAGCAATGGGATTTGATAGAGCCCTTGTCATTGAAGCCTTTTTAGCTTGCGATCGAAACGAGGAATTGGCAGCAAACTATTTACTGGAAAATGCTGGAGATTTTGAGGACTGATGGAATCTTAACTCATTTGGTTCATAGTTTTGATCGAAGTAGATGGATAGCAGGTATGATTTGGTATGTTGTCATGGGATGAGGCAAGGGAAACTAAATGAGTGGTGAATCAAAATTGTCTGTGATAAATAGATGCTTATCGAAAATTCTTTAATTTTTTTTTCTTTTAGCTTGCGATTTTATTTGATGATGAGAGTAAAGAAATTCATCAAATCATTTAAGGGGATAAAAGGACAAAACAATAAATAACGGTAGTTATACGGTACGGCAGTCAAATTTAAGGTTAAAAAATAGAGACAAGCACAACTGAAAATATGATAAAAAAATGTAAAACATTTTAAGGTGGGTGTAACTTAAAATGTTATATTTTTCTAATATTTTCGGTTGAATATAAAATATTAAAAATAATATAATATTTTCAGTTGTCAACTTAAAATTTTACTTTTTATTGCATTTTTCATTGTGTCTATTTTTGCCCTTTTTAGTCTTAATTTAAGTCGTCATTAAAAGATTAGAATTTTCTTTAATTGGTTACAAATTTATTTAATAAAATAGTAAATATCTTAAAGTAGTGATTTAAGTATCTCCTTCAATTATATATATATCCTTCAAAAAAATTAATTTAAGTTGCTAAAATTTTTATTCACTTAAAAACCTTCCAAGTTTCATAAATATATAACGATTTAACTATAATAATATTTTAGTAGAGAGAAATTTCAAATTAAACTTCGATTTAAAGGCCTAACTTCTTTTATTATACCTTAAAATTAAACGAGTCTTCATTTTTAATAATAAAGTAGTTGGATTCTTATTTGAAAAAGAGAAAATCGCCTCAGTGACCAAAAATACCTTATAATATACGATTTTAACCAATTTTTTTTGGATTTGCCAAAATGACCAATAAAATCGCAACGCGATATCAAAATCGCAACGCGATTTAGAAAATCGCAACGTTAAAAAGAAAATCGCAACGGTCAAAAGAAAATCGCAACGGTCAAAAGAAAATCGCAACGCGAGCTTCCAAGTTCGCAACGCGATTTAGAAGAAAATCGCAATGCGATTGATTAAGAGAATCGCAATGCGACTGAGAGATTCGCAACGCGACTGAGAGAATCGCAACGCGATTTAGAGAATCGCAACGTTAAAAAGAAAATCGCAACGGTCAAAAGAATAGTTAAAAAAATTTTGTTTCTTAAGAATTTTCTCTAAAAAGATAGTATCCGCGCGGACGTGTCGAAGACACGTATTACCACGACCACGACCACGACCACGACCACGACCACGACCACGACCACGACCACGACCACGACCACGACCACGACCACGACCACGACCACGACCACGACCACGACCCGAGACGAGACGGCGGCGGCGGCGGCGGCGCGCGAGAGTCCCCCTTGTCCTCTTTCACTCAACAAGGAAGTGCAAAATACAAGCCTTAAATATAATTCACAATAGTGTTTCCAATACTATGTGGGATTGAGCATTACCAACACTTGTTCCAAATATCATTATTCTTCATAAGTTATCATCCATTACAATATGAATTAGTCGTGTTAATGAACCAATATACCTCATTAATATATGGTATTGTTGAACAAAAGAATGATGATGATGATCTTATTAAAGACCATCTAATACGAAAGAATCCAATGCATAACCGATACCTTATTGTGAAACTAATTCACATAGAGGTTGTACGTGAAAAAAAAATCTTTTACTTTTATAGTAAATATCTATCTCAATAATTTTAATATAAAAAATATTTTTTATTTAATAATAGAATTATTTCATGTATTTATCAAGTTATAATTTTAAATACTTATTAAAATGAATTAATTTATTATCGATAATTCATATTGTAATGGATGATAACTTATGAAGAATAATGATATTGGGAACAAGTGTTGGTAATGCTCAATCCCACATAGTATTGGAAACACTATTGGGAATTATATTTAAGGCTTGTATTTTGCACTTCCTTGTTGAGTGAAAGAGGACAAGGGGGACTCTCGCGCGCCGCCACCGCCGCCGTCTCGTCTCGGGTCGGGTCGTGGTCGTGGTCGTGGTAATACGTGTCTTCGACACGTCCGCGCGAATACTATCTTTTTAGAGAAAATTCTTAAGAAACAAAATTTTTGACCGTTGCGATTTTCTTTTTAGCGTTGCGATTCTCTCAGTCGCATTGCGATTCTCTCAGTCGCATTGCGATTTTCTTCTAAATCGCGTTGCGACTCTCTCAATCGCATTGCGATTCTATAAATCGCATTGCGATTCTATAAATCGCATTGCGATTCAATCAATCGCATTGCGATTTTCTTATAAATCGTGTTGCGAACTTGGAAGCTCGCGTTGCGATTTTCTTTTGACCGTTGCGATTTTCTTTTTAACGTTGCGATTTTCTAAATCGCGTTGCGATTTTGATATCGCGTTGCGATTTTATTGATCATTTTGGCAAATCCAAAAAAAGTTGATTAAAATCGTATATTATAAGGTATTTTTGGTCACTGGGGCGATTTTCTCTTTGAAAAATCATGATAAATTAAACTTTTATAATTGTTGTTATTATTAATCATATTAATTCTCCTCTAATATATTGATATAGCAACAATAAAGTAGTTGAAATTTATTTATTTTTAATCAATAGAAACCCAAAAACATTTGAAAATTCTTAAAAGTAATAAAATAATCTAAAATATTATTTTAAATTATAATTATGTTTAGCAATCATAGTATATATTTATAAATTCTAAAAAGATAATTTATTAAGTATTTTTAGTGGTTAATATGAGTGCTATTCTTTCTTAAAATCTTGGATCTTAGTAGTTATATTTATATGGTGTGTGTTGTCAATAATAAAAATTTTCAATAGATATATTATTTTATAATCACTATATACTAATAAAATATATATATATATATATATGAATAAATCACTGTATTTTTAAGGTAATGATAATGATTGTCCGTTGTTTAAATTTTTTGTCTTGATAAAGAGGTAGAGGAGTAAAGAGTTAAAAAGTGGTTTCCTATCTTTTTCTCAATCTCAATCGAGAGATTTTGTAGTGATCTTAATATCAATATCAGGCGTAGGATTATTATATATAACTATTCATAAGTTAGTAGACTCAATAGATATGATTGTTTAGCAATAGTTTTTGGTCCTGATAGATCACGTGATGTCTAGGAAAGATTATGTCAAAGGGTCGTGTCTTTCCGAGGGATACATAGTTCCGGAATCTCGAGTCTTTATTCTTGGAGGAAGAGTTCTCCAAAAGATTTGATGTGCAAAGATCAATCTTACAGAAAATATTGGGAAGATAAACATGAATATGTATTACAGGTTGGGGTTCATTCAAGTAGTGGTAGAAACTTATAGCTTGGAAGCGTATAGAATTACCAATTAGATGTGGAACTGGTTAAGGGGTTATGTGTTGGTTAAACAAATGGTTGTGTAGGACAAGAGGGTGCAGGTGGTTGATGTTCATCGAGAGAGAAATGGGGTAGCAGATGCACCGGCGAAAATGGGCCGAGAAACACCCCTGGAACAGAGGTTTTACGTTCTTCCTCCGGATCAGATAGCGGTTCTACAAGCGGCTGCTGATTAAGTGTATTTGGGATACTCCGGATTGTTTTAAAAGTTTTTTCATAGCTTTTTTAGATTGCAACTGAATTTGGGATACTCGGAGTTCTCCTCGTGTGGAATGGAAGGGTCCATGCTTGATAAGATTTGTGATGTCGCGAAGACTAGGAGTGAAAAACTGTGTCTTTGATATTCCCTTTATTGCTAAGAGGTTGACGATTAGAGATTGTATCTCACTTATTGAGAGGATTATCACCAGACTTTAACGTTGACAAGTAAAAATGACATCCAATTCAGTTAACAGAGTACAAGATTCTTAACCTTGAGGTCGTGAGATCAAGTCCAACGAAAGATATTTTATAATTCGAAGATCTCCTACAGAAACTACTATTAATCTGACTTTGAAAGCAACCTACTATCCTATCTCCCCTTACCCATTATATATGATAATAAGGGTCAACTAAATTTTTAAGGTTGACAAGTAGAGTGTTCTCATATGCAGGTCGTCTTCAGTTAATTCAGTTTACCATTTATAGCATTCAGAATTACTGAATTAATCAATTTTGTTCTCAGTTGTTTTGGAAGGGATGAGATAAACCAGGGAAAGAGGTAAGAGTGAGCTTGGAGTGCATGAGCATAGATAATGCCTCGAAACACTATAAAACGTATCATATTTTACTTTTTCCACTCCGCTTCTTGAAGAGTTACATTATTCATTTTCTTTTTGACGAGCAATTGGACAAATAAATTACACATGTAACAACTTCTACCAAAAACTCTGATTTGTCTTTACACTTACAAATTTTCTATTTTAAGTGACTTCTAATCGCCAAGCTTTGAAAAAACCTTTTTGTACCGCAGTGATCTTGCGATAGTTCAAATGTTTGACTCTCAATAGTTTTTAATGAGCCCGATAATGGGTGAGCGGGGTGAAGGAAACCCTAAACAGTTTCAGGCTGATTTTCTTCGGAACCAAACAAGAAAAGAGACAATCCAAACACGAATTTTATGAATCGAAATTCAACTTATATTACTTGATCCAAATAAAAACAAAAACCAAGTCCAGACGAAGTTAACCTCCAAAGCCGTAAAGAGTTCGGCCCTGTCTTTTCAGAGCATAAACCACATCCATTGCAGTAACCGTCTTCCTCCTAGCGTGCTCGGTGTAAGTAACCGCGTCGCCGGCTTCGAGATCCCTTGAATGTTGTCCCTCAGAACCTTCCTGTGCCTCTTGGCTCCTCCCTTTCCCAGTCCTTTGCCTCCCTTTCCGCGGCCTGACATTCTTCTCTTCTCTTTTCTTTTCCTTCTCTGTCAAACCAGGATTTTGGATTGGATTGATTTCCAACAACGGAACCTTTGTTTATTTACAGCTGAAGGAGGTTCCTTTATAGCCGTTGGATGATAGTTCTAATCGGACGGTTTAGGGTATCGATCCGTGTGTTCTGGCTCTTTTTGGCGCGAGAAAACTGGACAAATAAGGTTTCTTATTAGTATTATTTTTCTTTTTGTGATTTGAATTTCAAATATTTCGCGAAACCGCGCGCGGGTACGCTAGATAAGCATCATTTGAACTGCAGATGTAAAACAAAAGGTCTAATTTTGATATCAGTCCCTCTACTACATAGAAATTAAATATTCAATTTTATACTTTGGATTAAACAAAATAAAAGCGCGTGCATTCAATAATTGGCCCGTACTATATTCAGTCATGCTCTTTGTTGATTCAGAGTTAATGAACTGAACCTACCTTTACATTTATTTAATACATTAAGCTTATATTTTATTCCATTTACATCGTGGGCAGACCACAAGTTCAAATGGTCAATAGTAGGCTCTACCATATTAATTTCTGACAACTCTTCTAAGCTTGACTGGCTATCTTTTACCCTGGAAAGAAAATTCAAAGGGTTGAATGATTCAACGCTAGGAATTAGTACTTGACGCTCGAATTATATATGCAAAAAAACTATCTTAATATTTATCAACAATATTAATAACATCAAGCATTAGTAAAAATATCATTTTATAAAAATTTAAACTCAATTTATTAAGACAAATATAAATATTTAAATAAAACAACTCACTAATTTAAGTCTTCATGTTAAAAGTTAAGTATAATTTATTCTATTCGACCTATTAGATGATTTTAGTAATAAAAAAATTTTACTTTTTTAAAAGATCGAGTTTTAGCTATTATTGTATCTAAAGTATATATATTGTAAATAGATTGAAAATTTCTGAATAATTATTATTTTATAATTATTTCAAACTATTAAAATATAATAATTGCAAATATTTATCTCGTGCTTAAATCTTAATGAGTTTAAAATCAGTGTGATAATTCCTCTTGCAAAAGTGAATGATAGTATGGACCAAGTAAACGGGACTGAAACTAGCCTCGAGTCTTAACCACTATATTTTAGTACTTTCTTTTTAAAGCAACTCATTTCCTCTAGCTTCCTACAAGTTTATCAATGGCTTCAATTTTCCTTCCTTTCTTTTCACCTTACCTATTGCTTCTCCTACCTCTTGTTGTCGCTCAAAGTAGTGCCGGCGGTAACATTCGGGTTGGCAGCTCCATCGAAGCAACTCGGGATGCAAAACCATGGGTTTCTCCCTCCAGTGATTTCGCCATGGGATTTCAGCAACTGGAAAACGATAATGACCTTTTCCAACTCGCCGTATGGCATTACAAGATCCCAAGACGTACCATAGTTTGGTACGCAAGCGGAACTAAACAAGCTCCAAGAAGATCCAAGGTCGAGTTAACCGCTGATCGAGGACTGGTCCTCACCGATCCCAAAGGTCAACTGATATGGAGATCCGAGTTCGCCATCGGTGATGTTTCCTTTGCAAGAATGAACGATACAGGCAATTTCGTGGTTTACGGCAGTAGTTCCGAGCCCCTGTGGGAGAGCTTCGAGAATCCCACCGATACGCTGTTACCGAATCAGGTCATCCAAAGGGGTGGTAAGCTTTCTTCTCGGCAAAAAGAGAACAACTTCTCGAAGGGAAGATTCCAGTTCCAGCTACGTGAAGATGGGAATGCTTTGCTCAATACAATTAATATTGAATCCGAGTTTTTTTATTTTGCGTACTACACTAGTGGTACTGATGATCAAGCAAATAAGACGAATTCGGGCTATCAAGTGAGGCTAGATGAAGATGGTTCCTTTTACGTACTAAGAGGAAACAACCAGAGACATTCACTCATCGGAGAAGATGATGGTGTTCATTCTGCAGATTATTATCATAGAGCAACCCTAAATTTTGATGGAGTTTTGACTCTTTCTAGTTATCCAAAGAATCCCATCAGCAGCAATGTAAACTGGAGTGTTCGTACCACCATTCCAGATAATATCTGCATTACAGGATTTAATCGGTTCGGTAGTGGAACATGTGGCTACAACAGTATCTGCACGCTTAAACCAGACAAAAGGCCACAGTGTAAATGCCCACGGGGCTATTCTTTATCCGATCCGAACGATGAGTTTGGTAATTGCCGAGCAGATTTCATGCAGGGCTGTGAAGCTGATCCCCAGAGTTCTCATGAAGGTTTATACGATTTGGACGAACTACAAAACACGGATTGGCCGACTTTCGACCAGGAGGTGATTAGCCCTTGCAGTGTTGATGCCTGCAAGGCTTATTGTTTGCAGGATTGTCTTTGTACAGTGGCAATATTCAACAATGGCAAAGACTGTGTGAAGAAGACCCTGCCACTTCCTTATGGGCGACAGGACAGACAAGTGAATACCATAGCCTTTGTTAAAGTACGTAAACCTGAATTTGCTCACGGAAATCCTCCGATTATATCGACGGTATATGAAAAACGGAACCGGAATTCATTGACAGTTCTGATTTCAGTGCTCTTAGGTAGCTCTGTGTTTGTCAACTTTGTATTACTTGGTTTGTTATGCATGGCATCATCTTTCTTGTACCACAAAAGGGTTTCAAGAAACCACAGCAACAAAAATGGGATACAAAGCAGCTTAAGGTGTTTTAGTTACAAGGAGCTTGAGGATGCCACTAATGGTTTCGGGACAGAGCTCGGAAGGGGATCATTCGGCATTGTTTATAAAGGGGTAATCAAATCAGATTCTCAAGATCCGATCGAAGTCGCGGTTAAGAAGTTAGACAGGGTGGTTGAGGACACAGACAAGGAATTCAGAACTGAAGTGAGTGTGATTGCTCAAACACACCATCGGAATCTAGTCAAGCTGCTCGGATATTGCGACGAGGGTCGATATCGAATGCTGGTATACGAGTACATGAGAAATGGGACATTAGCAAGCTTTCTATTTGGTGATCTGAAACCAAGCTGGAACCAAAGGACACAAATTGCAGTGGGAATCGCTAGAGGACTCTGTTACTTGCACGAGGATTGCAGCCCCCAAATAATCCATTGTGACATAAAGCCTCAAAACATACTTCTCAATGACTACCACGAGGCTCGGATCTCTGATTTTGGGCTGTCGAAGCTTTTAGGCATCGACCAATCGTTTACCAACACTGCCATTAGGGGCACGAAAGGGTATGTAGCACCCGAATGGTTCAAGACCGTGCCCGTGACCGTGAAGGTCGATGTGTATAGCTTCGGTGTCCTGCTGCTGGAAATCATTTGTTGTAGAAGAAATGTAGCAATGGATGTTGGTGAAGAAGAGAGAGTGATTCTGACAGACTGGGCTTGCGATTGCTTCTCGGAAGGCGTTGTTGACGCTCTTGTCGAGAACGACGCAGAGGCCTTAATGGAGAAGACGAAGTTGGAGAGGTTTGTAATGGTTGCTCTTTGGTGCATTCAAGAAGACATCTCTCTCAGACCCACCATGAAGAAAGTTTTGCTAATGCTTGAGGAAATGATTATGGTTGCTCCTCCTCCATTGCCATGTCCATCATATATGTTGGCATAGTACACTATAATTATTTGCTTAATTGTTGCGTATAATAACATAGTAAGTGTCCATCTTGTGTTTGTATATATATATAACTTTTGTGTATTATTATGAAATTTAGGTTATCACTATTAGTACGTGTCAAATTGGTTAAATAAAAATCGAAAGTGTTATAATATACAAAATAATAATTCAACTATCATATTGGATATTTTCTTGATATAAATGTTCGTCTTGAACTTATCCTCTATGAACTTTAATTTATCAAGATATGATATGACTCCACAACTTCTAGTCTTCTTGGTCTCCTTCCTAAAGTCTTCAAGTCTAATGATCCTCTTATCCAATGACAATGAGGTGTCCCTCCTCTTGTTTACAACGTCCATCAATTCCTCTAAATTTATAATTAATTCTAAATTATATTTACATTAATTAATATATATTTCAATTTTTTTTCATTTACATGAAATCATATTTCATGTATGTATATGATTTGTTAAATTTATGCGTTATTACATCTATTACATGTTTTAAATAACAATAATAATAATAATAATAATATATTACTCAAAACATAAAGTTATAAATAATAAAAAAATTATACATAGTTAGGATTAATTGAAAATATCATATTGGGTATAACTCGAATTAATTAGGGTACTCAAATAGATTTTGAGGACTAAAAATGTTATTATACCTGACCACTTAATTATATCATCTAATATTTAATAGTGACATGTTTGTAATAATATTTAATTAAATGATTAAATTATATATATTTTTAAATTTGACTAATAATTAATTGACCTGGAAATGTAGTTTGCCCAAAGCCAAATTGCAGCCGTACAAACAAGATGGTGATATAAGTGGCGACTGATGATGAAAAACACTTGTGATGGAAAAAACAGAAAAAGAAAATACAAAGAAAATGAGTTTAATGTCTTGTTCGAAAGGCTTGCTCTATTTCTTCTTCTTCGTCTTCTTCGTTGTGTTCTTTTCATGTAGCCAATCTATCAATGCCCAGAATGCCACCACCGATCCTTCTGAAGGTATTCTCTCCCTCTCCCTCTCTCTCTCCCCCTCCCTCCCTCCCTCCCTCCCTCTCTCTCTCTCTCTCTCTCTCTCCTTGTACATACATAGTTACATATATATATATATATATATATATCATATGTAGTTAGCATATAACAAGTAATTATCTCTCTCTCTCTCTATATATATATATATCATATGTATCGGCCTAGAGAGCTAAGTCTCGGACAAAAATTGCAGAAAAGTTATGGGTTTTATTTTGTAAACTAGTGCATCTGAAAAGATTTTTATATTATGAGTTCCTAATCCAATCTGAAAATTAATTTTGTCTCCTAACTATAATCATATACTTGTTTAGTATATGATAACTCTTGGTGAAAATACACTCATATGCCTTAATTTGGATCTTATACATCAACTTAAGACTGCTGCTTCTTCTTCTTCTTACAAAAGGAAAAAAGAAGAGAAGAGAGAGTTGTCATCAGTATCCTAAGATAACAAAAGTCGTCTCCGACCGAAAGTCTGCTCTCAAAATTTGACAAATTCAGGTTGCGTTTCACCAAAAGAAAGAGACGTGGGAGAAAAGAAATTTGGTTGGTTTGCCATCATTGTCTTTGGGTTAAGTGTCAAAAGAATTACGCACAAGATAATAATATTAGATTTATTATTATAAATAACATAATATTTTTATTTTTAATTATAAAACAACCCTATCTAAGACAATGTCATCACATTCAGCAACAATTTTATTGAATAAGAAACAGTCCTCAATCTTAATAAATGTGAAACACAATTTTTTTACTCATTCAAGTGCTTTAGTTAAGAACTTTAAATGAACTCATGCATCGTATAAGATCAGAAACTACTTAGTAATATCATAGTTTAAAAGTATGAGAAGAATGATAAATTATGGTGATAATTCTGAAAAGTACACACTGAATTCAATTAAGATGATGTTAGTTTAATGAATGGGGGAACAGTGAGGGCATTGAACTCAATCTTCCAACAATGGGATACACAAGCAGCGGATACATGGAATCACAGTGGAGAGCCATGCAGTGGAGCTGCTCTCAGCCAAAGTGACTCGGTGCTTGAGGATCCTTCTAATAACCCTACTATTAGATGTGATTGTTCTTTCAACTCCAACACTGTTTGCCACATTACTCGACTGTATGCTCTCTCTCTCTCTCTCATTCTTCTCCAATATTTTTAAGCCATTACTGCATTCAATATTATAGTATGACAGTTAAAATAAGGATATTTTTAGCCAGAAGTTAGTCCATTCATGTTACATAATGTAAAAATTCATCTTTAATATATCGGCGGCAAGCGTTGATCGTTAATCAACTAACGGTTTTGATCAAAATAAGATGTGGGGACCAAAATACTTCAAAAAGAAATAGCGACTAAAATGACTATTCAATCAAACATTATAAATATTTTTTTCATTACACTAGGTTGGAATGGGTGTTTCACATTTCAGTATAAAGTTTAAGCATTTGACTTTCCATATCTTTAGGCAGCAAAAAAAAACTTCATTAATAATGCTAATCAATACATCATTTGTATCAGTAACATTTTACATGTTGTAAACACTTGTATCAGGAGATTAGTTGGTCTAGATAAGCGAGGAGTGTTACCTGTTGAGCTTTTGGATTTGCCTTTTCTGATTTTCTTGTAAGAATGTTCTTTTTCCTTCTATCTCTCTATTTTCTCCTCACCTTTGATCTTCATTTATATAGTTTTGCGGTGCAGGAAGATAGATCGAAACTTCTTCTCTGGTCCTTTGCCAGCATTCATTGGAAATATGTCTAGACTAGGATTACTGTGAGTACTCACAGATTATATGATAAAAGCATTTAGTTGACGGAATTTTATATTAGGGAGACGAATTTATAAAATTTTTAAAAAATGAAAATACCGAAGAATACCTCTTTCTTTGAGTTATTTAATTGTTTTAACCTTGTATAGGTCTATGGCACACAACGTTTTCTCTGGACCCATTCCAAAGGAGTTTGGAAATCTCAAGGAGCTCTATATGCTGTAAGAATGTGTATTTTCTTTTTCATGTTTCTCAAAGATATCATGTGTGGATCAATCTCATGCAGGTCCTTAAGTAACAATAATTTATCTGGAACACTGCCTCCAGAGCTTGGTAATTTACTCAACCTCGAACAACTGTGAGTTCTAAATATTTTTTTAGTTTCTCGTAGGGGACTGTGTTTAAAGATTATATATATCCTGTGAAATTATAAGAGCAATGGTTGGTTTATAAATTTTGCAGGTACATTAACAGTTGCGGATTGGGTGGTCAGATTCCCTCTTCATTCGCTAACCTAGTAAACCTGCAAATTGTGTAAGAAACACACTTCCCTATTGCCTTTTGCAACATGCCTCGAGGGATGGACCGAGGGGCCGTCATCGAGGAAGTCGCAAACTGAAATTTTCAAATTATTTTATATTTTAAATATTTTATTTATATTTTTTATTGATAATTTATTTTCGTCCCAATAATTTTATAACTTATCTCCTTCTAAAATTTTTAAAGTTTATTCCTTAATATAAAATTTCTCGTCCATTCTAGCATGACGTTGCCTCCTTACCTTACCCTGGTAATTGCAACCTTTGTTGAATTTCAGGAGGGGAGTTGACAATGCATTCACGGGCAAAATACCAGACTTTGTTGGAAATAACTGGACAAAGCTTACAGCATTGTAATTCATCAAAACATCTTGGTTATAATCTTCATCATGAAGGATGGCTTTGCCTAGAGTGTTCATCGGTTTTACTGGTCTGTCAAATGTTTATACAGGAGATTTCAAGGGAATAATTTTCAAGGACCGATACCATCCAGTTTCGCCAATTTAACCTCATTGAATTCTCTGTAAGTAGAGACATGCATATTGCATGTATGCATGCCAGCGTGCACACACATTTCACTCACGATACATGCATGCATGTATGTACGTACGCATGTTATTGTTGTTTATGCTTGTCTATTATGTAGGCGAATTGGTGATATATACAATGGGAGTTCTTCTCTAGATTTCGTGAGAAATCTAAAGAACTTGACTGACTTGTAAGTTAAGCATTCTCCTAGAATTCATCAGTTTGCTTTTTATGGGGAAAAAGACTTTTTTACCTAAATTTATCCTTTCTTTTCATTTCCTATAGGGTTCTAAGAAATGTCATGCTCACTGGTATTTTGCCATCTTATATCACAGAATTACAGTCTTTACAAAAGCTGTAAGTTTTTATCCAAGAGTTAACTGCTTCAATAATCTGTGATATTCGTGTTTCTAATTACTTTCTGTTTGCAGGGATTTGAGTTTCAACAACTTAACAGGCACAATTCCAAGTGCTTTGTTCACTATGGATTCTCTCCAAGACTTGTAAGTGTTAGGAATTTATAAGCAGCAAAAATAATAAAATGAGATCAACATAAAAAAAAATCACACAAGAGACGAGATTTAACATGATTTGACTTTGCTATTTCCACGGATTAAAAGTACAATGGATAAACGTAGAGAATACTCATAGATAATATCCCAATGCATATATTCCAAAATTACGACTTTATTAATCTCATTCATGATATTGTAATGGCCAGGTTTCTTGGAAACAATAGTCTAGTAGGTGCCATTCCGAGCCAAAAGAGTGAAACTCTCCAGAATATGTGAGTTACTTTTTAACAACCTGATATTAACCATCAAATAGTAAAAGTAGTTTTTATTGTTATGATTCTGGTGATATGTTCATGATCCATACTTACTTTCTGCCAATATGCCCCTATATGCAGAGATTTATCATACAATTTACTCTCAGGGAACTTGCCGTCTTGGGTGAACCCAGGCTTGCAACTGTCTGTATCTAAAGCTTGTTTCATGGAATTTTAACAACTGTAATAATCAATTGAATTCAATACCAATAAAAGCTTGTTTCATGGAATTTTATGTAGGAACCTCGTGGCCAACAACTTCACATTTAACAGCTCAAGCATAAGGTGAGTTATCCTTGCGCAGCATCTGATTTTCCTGTCTCCTAAGCTTTCTTGGAATGCATTCTTTTAAAGTTCCTAATAAAGAAATTGTTTTGAAATTCCTCAGGATTTTACCAGGATTAGACTGCCTTCAAAGAAGCTTCCCATGCTTTAGAAATGCTCCCCGATGTACTATCCGAAACTATCGAACCGGTATCTGTTGTTATGCTTAATACTCTCTGCTAATCTGTTTCGGTATCGAAATCGGCAGATGCAAACTTCTCGATCAAGTGCGGCGGGCAGCAGATGATTTCCGATGGGATAACATTTGAGGCCGATAATACTGCTCTTGGCGCAGCAACGTTTAATGTGACCAGTACACAGAAATGGGCAGTTAGCACTGTAGGCTTGTTTGCAGACAGACTAAATCAATTGTATGTGGAAAACTATGGAGGACAAGTGAGAAGAACCAACACTCCGGAGCTGTATCAGATTTCGAGGCTATCCCCTGGATCACTCAGATACTATGGTCTAGGCCTTGAGAACGGGCTTTATACTGTGAAGTTGTTTTTTGCGGAAACAGGTTTCGAAGACCGAATCTCGCAGACTTGGAGGAGTCTAGGAAGGCGAGTTTTCGATGTTTATATTCAGGGAAACCGTACATTAAGGGATTTCGATATATCAAGAGAGGCTGGTGGTGTTCAGAGAGCAGTAACTCCGAGTTTCACTGCTAATGTAACTGAGAACCACCTTGAAATTCACCTGTTTTGGGCTGGTAAGGGGACTTGTTGCACACCGGAGGATGGTTATTACGGTCCATCGATTTCGGCTATTAGTGTAACTCCAAGTAAGACATGTTTATGTACTAATTAATGCTTCATGTGCTTATCTTCAGCTTTCTGTTTCTGTTTCATCGATTTCGTTTCTCAGATTTCAGACCAACCGTCAGTGGGTTACCGCCGGGAAATCGTAAAGAGAAGAACCACACAGCATTGATTGCAGGAGTCACAGTTTCTGTGGTGGCATTGGCTTTGATACTTACGTGTACAATTATCTATCTGAAGAAGAAGAAAAAAGATGAGGATGAGGAAGGTAAGAGTATCAATATATATAAATCATATATGCAATTATTGCATTCTAATTACCTTACTTGACTCTGCAGTGCTTCTTGGCATAGGCCCCAGACCGAACACATTTAGTTATTCCGAGTTAAAAGCCGCTACCGAAGACTTCAGTCCTTCTAATAAGTTAGGAGAAGGGGGTTTTGGACCTGTGTACAAGGTAAACAATGTCATACAATGATGAAATTACTGAGAAAAGATGATTTATTTCACAATTTTACTAAGTTATTTGCATTTAGGGTACACTTTCTGATGGGAGAGTTGTAGCTGTGAAGCAACTTTCAGTAGCATCAAACCAGGGGAAGGATCAATTTGTTACTGAGATAGCCACCATATCAGCAGTGCAACATCGTAATCTCGTCAAGCTATACGGATGCTGCATCGAAGGAAATAGGCGCCTCCTTGTTTACGAGTATCTTGAGAACAAAAGCCTCGATAAAGCACTCTTCGGTATAAGAGCATTCTAATACGATATTATAGTGCCTTTCCTTTGTGATTACTGAAACAACTGTTTGAGATTCCTTGCACTATAAATGCAGGAAAAAATGGTTTGCATCTTGATTGGCCAACACGCTTCAATATCTGCTTATCAACTGCAAGAGGGCTAGCTTATCTTCACGAGGATTCTAGGCCAAGGATTGTTCATAGGGATGTCAAGGCAAGTAATATTTTGCTTGATGCAGAGCTCTGTCCCAAAATATCCGACTTCGGATTGGCAAAGCTTTACGATGACAAGAAGTCGCACATCAGCACTCGCGTAGCCGGAACGATGTACAATCTTTTGACCCTTTAATTCGTTCTTCAATCCTACCTTAGTAGTTTATCAGTAAACATCATTCAACATGTGTAATGTTACATCTTGAAGAGGCTACCTGGCACCGGAGTATGCAATGCTCGGCCATCTTACAGAGAAAGCAGACGTTTTCGGCTTCGGTGTTCTTACATTGGAGATCACAAGTGGCAGGCCAAACTCATATAATACGATCGAAAATGACAGAATTTATCTTCTTGAATGGGTAATTCAGAAGTAAAATTTTCCTTTTGCAGTACTATTTGTTCAAGTAGTACTTAGTCATGATTATTAATTTGTTACCAGGTATGGACTCTGCTTGAAAATAACCAACTCATGAGCCTGCTCGATCCGACATTAGCGGATTTCGACGAAAACGAAGCTCTACGAGTGATAAGGGTAGCACTGCTATGCACTCAGGGATCGCCGTCGATGCGGCCACCCATGTCCCGCGTCGTTGCTATGCTTGCAGGAGATATTGAAGTGAGCACCGTCACAACAAAACCGAGCTATATAACTGACTGGTATTATAAGGATATAACGGGCAGCTTCATGAATGAAGAATCACAAACATCCAATGCATCCGATCACAGCGGCAGCAAAAACAAGAGTAAGATTACGACTCTTTCGGGGGCGGATGATCAACGGATACTCTCGCCGGTAAATATTACCGATTTCAGGGAGAGCATCGGAGAAGGAAGGTGAGAGTTTTTTGTTCGGAGCCTGCTATAATTCCATATCATACGTCTTGAAAAACATATAGAATTTGTGCTGTTTCTTTCACTCTACCAACTTTGTTGTTCTAGGAACTATCGTTTCTATTTTGATTGTCTTGTAATATACATATAACAACATTATAAAGTTTGGGTATTTAAAGACAATATTTTTAATTAATTATAGTCTATACTTTTATTAAATAGGGAAAATACAATAAAACTACAAAAACCAGACCTATCACCACTTAAATTATACAAACTGGTCATCAAAAAATAAAGAGTAAAGCACACAAATGGTCCCTCGACTATAGGATATTACTTTGTTGAGTCTCCAACTATTAAAAGTTACAAAATGGTCCTCAACTATATAGAGTTGCTTTTTGATTCTCTCGACTATTAAAAGTTACAAAATAGTCACCCGACTATTCATTATTTTCCAACTCTTATTTTTTCGTTAAGAAATTAACAATTTTCTGACATGGATGCTAGCATACTAACTGATATATGATAGTCGTTTGAGATTGAGATCATATTTTGTCACATTTCAGTCAACAAGTTAACATCCAATTGAGGCTGTCGTTAATTTTTTAACAAAAAATGACTAGTTAGAAACATAATGAATAGTCAAGTGACCATTTTATAAATTTTAATAGTCGAGGGACCCAACAAAGTAACTCCCTATAGTCAGGGGACCATTTTATAACTTTTAATAGTCTAAGGACTCAACAAAGCAATATCTTATAGTCGAGGGACCATTTGTGTACTTTATCCAAAAATAAAATATGATCTTAGAAGTATAGGATTAAAAATTCAACCAAACAATTCGTATAGAGAATCAATGACGGTCTAAAAACACTATGATGATGATTATCATAACTCAACCAGAATCTATATCTCATGACCATGAGTGATTACAAATAAAAGAGAATCAATGAGCGTCTAAAAGAAAATAGAATCAACAATGACGAATGTAAGTGATGTTAGTGTTTACTCTGAAATTCAAAATTTTTTTTATGTTAATTATCTATTTTACTATGGCGTCCATCCTAAAATGTTATTTATGTTAATTTCATACCATATATATATATATATATATATATATATTATTAACATATATCTGTCACCTTCAAAAATATGTTTGAGTTTTAGGTCTAAAAAGATTGGTGGAGGTGGAGAAGTCCAACGTCAGCCGCCTAAATAGAATATTTTTGAGAAAATTTACAACTTGGCCCTCAAGCTTTTAATTTGGTTACATTGACCAAAACATAGACGAAGTCTTTTCCCCCAATAATAATTCACATCCCGACGGATAGTACCAACTTGCTCACTTACATAGTTCTCCTCATTGAAGTCTGTCATGAAGTTATTCAAATTTGATAATTTATGAGTTATTTTGGGATCTTTATATTGACCAAAGATGTTAACATAAGTGGTGTTTGATGCTGAGAAACATTTGTGAATAGAAAAAATAAACGGAAAAAGAAAGACGATTTCGAAATGTTTGTTCTTGGTAGTTTTCATGCAGCAAATCCATTACTGCTCAGAATGCCACCACCGATCCTAAAGAAGGTGCTCTTCTTGTTCTTGTTCTTTCTGCTTTCAGAATTACTATAAAATGAATAACAGAAATCCATTTTTATAGTTATAGTCCTCTTGCATATATTTTATTTTTCAATATTCATATATAAAATTATTTTTTAAATTATTTTAAATTAATTTTATATTTTATAATATGAAAATGCTAGATTTGAATACAATGATAAAAAAATATATTACTCAAAACATAAAGTTATAAATAATAATAATAAAAACTATACATAGTTGGGATTAATTGAAAATATCATATTTGGTATAACTCGATTTAATAGGGTACTCAAATAGATTTTGAGGACTAAAAATGTTATTATACCTGACCACTTAATTATATCATCTAATATTTAATAGTGACATGTTTGTAATAATATTGAATTAAATGATTAAATTATATATATTTTTAAACTTGACTAATAATTAATTGACCTGGAAATGTAGTTTGCCCAAAGCCAAATTGCAGCCGTACAAACAAGATGGTGATATAAGTGGCGACTGATGATGAAAAACATTTGTGATGGAAAAAAACAGAAAAAGAAAATACAAAGAAAATGAGTTTAATGTATTGTTCGAAAGGCTTGCTCTATTTCTTCTTCTTCTTCTTCTTCATCTTCTTCGTTGTGTTCTTTTCATGTAGCCAATCTATCGATGCCCAGAATGCCACCACCGATGTTGTGGGTAACCTACCAAAGAATTTTCCAATGTGTACAAGTTAGCCACCAACCAAAGATGTCAACTTTGCTAATTTTTCAAGCCAAATATAACAGAATATTCATATCTCTTACCGTGACGGATCCATAAATTTATGAATGGTGGTTTAAAATTTTAATTTTTTTTTCTTTAAAATAATAGGGGTGCAAAAAATTTTATTTTTCTATTTTTCTTTAACATATTATACTAAATTTAACTTTTTTTTCCCTAAATAATGGGATGCACTTGACCCCTAAGGGGCTTAGTGCATCCACCCCCGATCTCTTACCTAAAAATGTACTAGAAAATTTGAATCTATTTTTATATATAAATTATCTAAGCATACCACTTGAATCCTAATTAAACATTATTATTTGAATCGTAATTAAACATTATTATTTATATATATAAACTAAAAGAGTTTTACATGGTTTAAGTGGATCAGAACTCATATACATGTTCATGGATGAATACAATATTTTAAGTTATAGGACGAATTTATAAAATTTTAAGATAATAAACTTATAAAATTTTAGAGAAATATACATATTATCAATAAAAAAGTGTAAAAATATTTAAATTATAGTAATGTAAATTTTTAAGGAGTAGACTAACCTATATGCATCTTGTATAATTTAACATCAAAACGACACACAACTATATTAACTTTGAAAGTAAGAAAATGTAGATGCACGTAATTATTTTTTACACTTAACCCAAAGACAATGATGGCAAACCAATCTAATTTAATTTCTTCCTACGTCTCTTTGTTTTGGTGAAAAGCAAGCCTGAATTTGTCAAATTTTGAGAGCAGACTTTCGGTCGGAGACAACTTTTGTTATCTTAGGATACTGATGACAACTCAATCTTCTTTTCTTTTTTCCTTTTTTAAGGAGAAGAAGAAAAAGAAGAAGAAGCAGTCTTAAGCTGATGTATAAGAAACAAATCAAGGCATATGACTGTATTTTCACCTTATCATATATTAAACAAGTATATGATTATAGTTGGGAGACAAAATTAATTTCCAGATTGGATTAGGAACTCATAATATAAAAATCTTTACAGATGCACTAGTTTACAAAATAAAACCCATAACTTTTCTGCAATTTTTTTCCGAGACTTAGCTCTCAAGTATTTTCCCATGTTGTGAAACATTCCTCCATTAGAATATTGTTGTCCTTGGTAGCACAGTTGAATTTGGAGTTAGCATAACTTGATGTAAAGACGGATTTCTTGCACAATGATTTAGAAGAGAAGATCTATATGACTCAGCCAGAAGGATACAAAGATAATGGTTGTGAGAAATGGGTTTGTAAGCTGAACAAATCACTATATGGATTGAAGCAATCTCCGAGGCAGTGGTACAAGCGATTTGATAGCTTTATGAGGAGGAAAAAGTACACTAGAAGCAAATATGATCATTGTGTGTATTTGAAAAAGCTCAAAGATGGATCTTTCATTTATCTTCTCTTGTACGTTGACGATATGTTGATCGCTTTGAAGAGTCAAAAGGAGATAGACAAATTAAAAGCTCAGTTGAATCAAGAGTTTGAGATGAAAGATCTAGGTGAGGCCAAGAAGATTCTTGGTATGGAGATAAACAGAGATAGACAGAAAGGGAAGCTTTGTTTAACACAGAAACAACATCTGAGAAAGGTATTACAATGTTTTGGCATGAATGAAAATACCAAACATGTAAGTATCCCACTGGCTTCTCATTTAAAATTTAGTTCTCAATTATCTCCTACTAACGAAGAACAAGAGTATATGGCAAAAGTTCCATATGCTAATGCAGTTGGAAGCTTTATGTATGCAATGGTGTATACGCGTCCTGACATTTCACAAGTTGTTGGAGTTGTGAGAAGGTACATGCATGATCCTGGAGAAGGACATTGACAAGCTGTGAAATGGATTCTACGGTATCTCCAACAAACCATGGATGTTGGTTTAGTTTTTGAACAGGATGAAACACTTGGTCAGTGTGTGGTTGGATATGTTGATTCTGATTATGCCGGTGATTTGGATAAGCGTCGATCAACTACTGGGTATTTGTTTACTCTTGCTAAAGCCCTAATAAGTTGGAAGTCTACTTTGTAATCTACGATGGCTTTGTCTACTACAGAGACAGAATACATGACAGTTTCAGAAGCTGTTAAGGAAGCAATTTGGCTTAACGGGTTGATGGAAGACTTGGGAGTTGTTCAAAGTCACATTAATCTCTATTGTGACAGTCAGAGCGCTATTCACTTAGCGAAAAATCAAGTTTACCATTCAAGGACTAAGTATATCGACGTGAGGTATCACTTTGTGCGGGAGATCTTTGAAGAAGGAAAGATTCTACTTCAGAAAATTGCGACATCAGAAAATCCTGCATATATGATGACCAAGGTGGTAACAGTAATCAAGTTCAATCATTGTTTGAACTGATTAACATCCTGAAAGTTTGAGCACCTTCGGGTGTATGGCGCTTGTGAGTTCAATTAAAGGCACTACATTAAAAGAGCTTCATGAAATTTGGGGAGTTGAAGAAATTGAGTAGACTTGGTAATTTCAAGCCAAGGTGGAGATTTGTTATATTTGACTTGAAGAATTAGCAAAGTTGAAAGTTGGCAAAATTGAAAGTTAACAAAATTGAAAGTTGGCAAAGTTGACATATTGGTTGGTGGCTAACTTGTACACTTTGAAAAATTCTTTGGTAGGTGGCCAACTTATTTTTCATATTTGATCCCTAAAATATTAGGTTATTTATAAGTTTAGTCCTTAAAACTCAACTATAAATAGGCCTAAGTATTTCATTAGAAATCATCCCAAAAACAAGTTCTCTCTTCATCTTGTTTTCTT